ACGCTGTGAGGACATCGAGAACGTGCTGACTGAGATTGTACGCGGCGTTTTCCATCTTGTAGCAAGCTGTGAACAGCAGGCGCTGGAATCCAGTAATCTTCGATCGTGTCTCGGCATCAAATGGCTTCAAATCCAGCGCTTTGACCTCGGTTTGTGTGTCATATCCGCTGAGAGCCATGCTAACCTTGTGATCTTCTCGACTTGTGTTAAAGATATTGTTAAACCCTTTGTTCGTCGTGCTCATGTTCCAAGCGCCACGTTTGAAGATCCAGCGCTGCATTAAACCATCGCAGCCGTTCACGTGCTGAGCCCGTATGAGTGCGACGTCAGAGCATCCGTCACTCCAGCGGGGCGTGCAACGCGGTCAAGAAGGCGGTTGACGTGGGTGTAGGTCGACGGCACGGCGGCGGCAGATGCTGGAGCAGCAGAGGCTGTGCGGTGGAGGCAACAGCGGATGGAATCTTCAAGTGCTGTAAAGTCCGCGGGATGGTTCAGAACCTCAAGCAGCGGCATGGCAGGCGACAGCGTGACGGCCGCTTCTGCAGGGAGCTCTGGCACGTTGTCGATCAAGGCGACGGATGGTGCAACCTCGTGGCCACTGCCACTGCAATCGCGTGCAATGGACAGGTAACGAAGTCGGGGTCTGGGAAGAGCGACAGCCCCTGTTCTTCAGAGGTCTTCAAGCGGATGAAGCGAACGAAGAATACCTCGGCTGCGTCAACAGAGAGATTCTGCTTACGGACGAGAGTCAGGTCTGAAGCCCAAATAGTTACCAGAGCATGCATAGCAAAGCTGCGTCTTGGTAGTCACTTGGAGAACATGCATTTTGATACAAAACAGTATCATCTTTTTTAAGTCACTCTTTCAGCACGGAGGCGCTTTGTTAACGACTTTACCATCTCTTTTCATACAATAGCTCTCGAGTGCCTTCCCCATACTTAACAACTTTGCTTCCACAATATGTCGTTGCGCAGGGAAACTTCAAAAAACCACATTTTGCTCTGTCGATAGTACTGCATCGATGTATTACGAGACAGTGGCTTACCCTTCCTACCCTCATTAAAAGCAAGATACATACCAAACTTATCTAATACAGATACCAAACACTTACCGGTGTCATCTTTTTCAATGCATCGCTTGGCATAGTCAAAATCAACATTTTCGGCCTTTACAAATGTTTTGAAGGCCTTGATGGCCGTAGCTTGAGCACGCTTGGTGTTTCCAGGCTTGAGCTCGTCCAGGCCCATAATGGTCGGAAAGGATGCAAATATGCAAATGATATGCAAGTATCTAGAACTTCGTAAGGACATACATATATTTCTCCTTGGTTTCCGACTCGATACGTCGGAATAGAGGGCCTACCTAACCCTCAATATTGCAATTGGCTGAATTAATCATTGTCAAGTAATATGATTGGTTAAAATTAAATACAATATTCTGATTGGCTGATTATAACGAAATTGGCACAATACAAAATCTTAGTATGGTCGGAAAAGTGTTTATATTCATCCATAAGGAAAATTACATCAATGTTGCCGCCCGACTGGTCTGGGATGTCCGGGAATTAATCTTCAGGTCATTCGGCACCTGCGGATCACAGTACGACTTGTATGAGTCTTCTTTCGATACAAAGCCGTGCTGGCGGGCGGAGAAGCTCTGGATTTTATTGGCGCTTTTCTATTTCAAGGAGTTTATAAGAATGGATGCATCGACGTAGGAAGATGAAGTAAATCTCAGTTAATATGTATTTGCTCGCACTCTTTCTGCTCGAGAACTATCCACCAAGCTAGTTGGTTAATTGTTGCTGTCGAACCAATATGTAGCTTATTACGTCCGTTGCTAAAACTAATGCTTGGGCTATCACATTGCAAAATGAAGACATTCATCGCCGCAGAGAGAATTTGGCGATCTTTTCACGATAAAACTCGAAAAAAGGATTGAAATTTCGCTGGAAGAGCGTAAAATTCTCGACAAGATTCCACGCGGTTTTCCACAATGTAACTTTTATTGCATGTTGCTCGAATGAGCCCGATAGCAGATTTTATTTTAATATCTACAGTACTACCTGTAATAGGTATTGCTTGAACGAACCCTAGACCTGAATTGGTCAACACGCATAAATTTTATAAATATCTACAATATATATAAGCAAAGAGTTTTTTTAATGCAAGTTCAGCTTGTACCTGATCCGATTCAAAGGGGATTTAATTATGGGCGCATTTGTACGTTGCTCGGATCTGGATATAAAATCCAGAGAATTGGAAAGTGCAAAGCTCGGATTTTGGTCAGTGTGCTTTCTTCCACTATGCCAGAACTTAGTAGAGCCCTGCAAACGAACGTATCACCTCATGCAACAATAGTCACTTCCTCACTAGCTACTTGTCAATACGTGCACCTAAGCTGTCACCACCTTGAAAGTTTTGCGCGGCGGATTGAGCGGTTCAGTCGCACGTTCCTTCGATTTCTGCTGGGCCGACTTGGCTTTCTCGATCTCGTCGAGTTTGTCTTGCACCCGTTGTCCGTAGTCAGGGTCTGCCTTGAAGAAGTTGGCCACGGCTCGAGCTTGAACGGGCTTAGATGCATTCACCAACGACCCAGCAATGTTGTTCGTAAGACGTTCGCGTGCCGCAGCATCCAATGTTTTGCGGTAGAAATCGCCGACTTGAGAGAAATTATCGTCGTCCGCTGTCGAGAACTTGTCCACCACCGAGTGATCTCCCTGGTACGAGTGATAACGCAGCGAGGCTGTTTCCGTCGGACCACCCACGCTATTTGGGAAATAGTTTGGTGCGTCGTTCATGTTGCCATCGACTGTCATGAACCCATCGCGCTGGTACGTGCGAGTCTCGACGAGCGGTTTGTTAACCGGAATCTGTTGGTAGTTGGGGCCAAGTCGGTGACGTTGCGTGTCCGGGTAGGAGAATAGACGTCCCTGTAGCATCTTGTCGGGCGATGGTTCAATGCCTGGCACCATGTGTGACGGCGAAAACGCGAGTTGTTCCACCTCCGCGAAATAATTCTTCGGGTTGCGATTGAGTACGAGGCGTCCAACCTCCTGTAGTGGATACGAACTATGCGGCCAGATCTTGGTGACGTCGAACGGGTTTACACTCTCGGCCTTTGCCTGTTCGGGTGTCATGGTCTGGATGTAGAGCGTCCAGGTGGGGAAGTCCTGGCGCTCGATGGCATTATACAGATCACGGATGGCGTAGTCCGGGTCAGAACTCGCGAGATCCGCAGCTTCGTCAACCGGCAGATTGCGGATCCCCTGGTCAGTCTTGAAGTGATATTTGACGTACGTCACCTCACCTTGAGCGTTCACGTTGGCAAATGTGTGGCTTCCGTAGCCGTTCATGTGGCGGTAGCCGTCAGGAATGCCGCGGTCGGAGAAGAGGAACGTCTGTTGGTGGAGCGTCTCCGGACGCAGCGAGAAGAAGTCCCACATCATGTTATCGTCTTTAAGGTGCGTATTGGGCAGACGCTTCTGTGTGTGGATGAAGCTTGGGAACAGGATCGGGTCGCGGATGAAGAAGATCGGCGTGTTGTTGCCCACGAGGTCCCAGTTGCCCTCCTCGGTGTAGAACTTGATAGCGAAGCCACGAGGGTCACGTACAGTGTCTGCACTGCCCTGTTCTCCTCCAACAGTCGAGAAGCGAATTGCCACGGGCGTTCGCTTGCCCACCGACGAAAAGAGTTTGGCGATCGTGTATTTGGTGGCCGTATCGTGCGTGACTTCGAAGAAGCCGAAAGCTCCAGCTCCCTTGGCGTGCACCACACGCTCGGGGATTCGTTCACGGTCGAAGTGCGCCAAGTGGTCGATCAGAGCGAAGTCTTGTAGCACGATGGGGCCTCGAGGCCCTGCAGTAGCGGACGCAGTGAGGCCCGTGGGTGGCAGAGGTGCCCCGTTGCTGGTGGTGGCGACTGGCGGAACGGCGGGAGCCATTTACAAGTTGAAGTTGTTGGAGTGTTGGTCGAAAGGGTGAAGAGGCTGGTACACAGGACGCCGCAAATTGAAAAATGACAACGAATTATGTGGTGGTTTTTGCTCGGATGAACAGGATGAAGACAATGGCTGTGGGTGCTTTATAGCCTTGTCGTACCCCCGGAATAATGAGTGACGAGACATGATGATGAGACTTTTGGGTGCTTTCTTCTTGCTGCGATCGGTAGTACATTTTTGGTTAGTGTAGTAGTAATACCGATAATGATATCTAAATGTTGGGCATACTATTTTTTACCAATATCATATCCCCCAGTTGAAGACAGATACTATTACTAATAGCAGATAATGTCTTTCCTTGACAACAGTCAAGTTCGTGCACTTCATCAGTTGACTTTGAATTGCGATGGAGGCGAGCTCGAGCAGCAAGTTGGGGGCTGGATACACGAGATCTTGTGTGGTGATAAAGCACTAATCTTGTCAAAACAATTGCTACAGCAGTAGATAGTAGTATTAGTAGTGACATGTTATCGTAAGATATTACTACTATTGTGACATTATCAATGCTAGCACAAAAAAATCGGGCGACTACTACCGATCACATGGGGTAATCATTGTCCGACCTGGATGAGTTCATTCCTTTTCGTCGGCAATTCTTGCATTCGTCTTCTGCAGGTATCCGTTGTCGTACCTTTGGAGCTGCCAAGAAGGCGACTAGGTATACGACGGCCACATTCATCGAGAAGATTTGAACTTTGATACAGTGAGCGAGCCGATGAGCAGCATCAAGGGCGGAACGGCCCCACTGGATTTGTGGGGCTGCCATTGTCTTACCTTCGAGATGGGGATAGTTATCAAGATAAATGGAAATCGACACCTGCAACAAATAAATACGTTAAGAACTCATCATTAGCGAGCATGACAATCATTTGCGTACCGAAGTGAGTGACTCGACACGCCAGCACCATGATCACCCAAAGCACGAATTTCGCTTGCACCAAGGGCATCTGTGTCTCCAGCACGAATGCAAGTTGGTAAAGCGCTCGGATACCGCAGTTGCGTCTCATAATGACGGCCAGCGCCACGAATGATATCAACTCCAGGAGTCCATACGCAAAAATTCCCAGTACTTTGCCGCCGACATTCTCAAGCGTGATCCCTTGCATCTCGGAGTGGTATTTAGCACTGGGGAGATTCACCATCACTAAGATTCCGCACCCGTACATGATCGGGATGATCGTCTCCAGATATTCCGTCAGGACGAGGCACTCGGACGTAAACAATAGCTCGAGAGGCTCCGATAGCGTGTTGAAGTTCTGCTGCATGCGACGATGAAAGCTTCCTTGATGTTGAAGTGACGACCGCGTTTTAACAGGTACTAGTATAGATTTAATCGGCTGGACTGGAGTACTGCCTCCTGGGCAGCATCTCCACAGACTCGCCCTGCATACAGCACGAGCTACAGTTACCGTACCTGCCACTTTAACTGGGACTGCACCGTCCGAGCAGACCGCTGAATTGAGTGAAAATGTCTGTAACTTTTCAAGTAGCGCTCTACTGTCGAGTGATACTCGGTGAGAAATGCACGAAAGTGTCTGGAAATTGCCATTACGTAACTTTTTCAAGTTTGCTTGATGAATCCACGAACGGATAGACACAAGTAGGTCGTAATGACAGTCTTTAACTCCACGTTCAGGGGAAAATCGATTCAGTATACTACGAGTCCGTTGGTATAGCTCACGAAGCTCAATGATCGTATCAGCAACATCTACAGCCATGATGGCGATCACCGTATTAGGCGAAGAAGCGCCTTGCATGCATGTTACAAGGTAGATGGCGTGGAAAAAGTCGACATTGAAGATAACTTCCTCCGGAACAATGTCTTCCATATGCAAAACAGTGGACGCCAACAAGTTTTTCATCACCAATTTAACCACGGATAGCATCAGAATTGCTGGTAGTTCAAAAGACGTATTGGTGACAGCGTAGAAGAGCATCTGATGCGCGGGGTAGATTGCGATCATTAAAAGTTGTACAGCAAACATTTTTCCAAGCTGCCGGAGTTGAATTGTGTGCGAAGAAACTTGACGAAAAGTGCTGCTTCCTACTACGGATCGAAACAATCCAACAAGAAAAAATGGCATCCCCATCGCCAGTATCATGTGCATGAATGGAATTGGGAATTTCCAGGTCGCTGCAATAGTCAGCGCGAGACTAGTATATACAACAGCTATACAGAGAGTAAATAATGTGAGTTGTCGTGATGAAAGTACCGCACCTTCAACGAAATGTCCAACGTGAATGGCGGACGAGCAGGCAATTACCCCTCCCTGAACGGCGACGCGAACCCAAAAACCATAGTTGACGCTCCATCCATCCGTTGGATCCTGAAGAGGAACGCTCTCCTGGCAGAAAACTAACGCGACAATTGGCACGGGTGTACCGATAGTAATTAACATCACCCTGGAAAATGGAGTACGTTCCATATAGTCCTCAAACGCCAGCAACCTCTCCACAGAGTATTTTCCACCATAGTGACTGAGCTGCAGAGAAAACCAGACGTCCATGAACTTCGTGATACAAACCTTTACTACGTTGTGTCGTCGACCGAATGAACGAGGTACGCTAAGCCCTGGTCCAGCCAGGACTGGATGCAACGGAGACACCATCGGCTCTGCAACGCGCGGGTGTCCAGTGGACACTGTCCACGCTTAGATGGAGCTATTAGCGAACGGAAATAGCAATTATACAGGAAACTGTCAAGCTCAGGATTAGTTATCCCTCTTCAGTTTACATATACCTCAAAATGCTCGTTCCACTTATTGTATTCATGGCAATGCAAACCAGTGATGATAGCTCGTGAGTCTACCTGTTCTCAGCTCGACAGTCACCTGTCTTACGGCTCCATGGTTGGCGTAAAGACGTCGAAGAAGTCCACGCCCAACCAGTAGGCCGTCAAGTTCGAGTACAGCGCGTCGCCCTCCTCCCAATTCGCAGCGTCGTTCACGTCACCAGAACCAGTGTACTTTGCCACAGACGGGTACGGATACGCTGGACGCGTGCGGTAAACCGTGCTGGACGATCCTGACTCCGAGGCATCCGCCTCCGTCGATGTCATGATTTCATGGGGAGCCGAACCGGACTCCACCCAGTCCAACATTGGGGTCAACAAGTCGAACGACGCCATGCCTTCGCCCTCTCCACAGTGCCACACACCTGGGAAAATGTACAAGCGGTTGAAGTCTTCCACAGCATCAGCACCCATATTTTCGATCAACTTCTCGTGGTACTGGATGGTCGTGCGCGGCGAAATGTGTTGGTCGGCCCAACCGTGCCAGAGAATGAGTTTGCCGCCGGCCTCGTGGAAGGGCGAGAGATCGGGACTCACAGAATCCAGGAACGGATGGTGCGGTTGTAGCAGATCAATGGTCGAGTTGGCGAAGACGAAGTCAGCGAGCGTGTAGTTCGCACCTGGAGCATTCTCAAAGACGAGATAGCGAAGCGTTGCCAAAGCCATGGACTCGCTTGCTACGCTGCCACCGTCCGTAGCGGGAATACCCACTCCGATCCACGCCGTCTCGGATCCAAACTGCATCTCACCGACAGTCAAATGCTCCCCACTGGCCTCGTCCACAGGTCCCGTATAGAAATCCACGGCCACTTGGGTTTCCGCGGCGGTCAAACACGTCGAATTATCGGCGTCGTCCGTGCATTGAAGCGTGCGGGGATCGAAGTTGCAGATGCGAGGGTCCGTTAAGAGACCATCCTCGACGCCGTCCAAGGTATCACATGCAGCGATCACGGCGTCATGAAGAATGGGAATACGCGACGGATTGAAGATCGGCTGCTCGTTTTCATCCAGGTTACTGACGGCGTCCCAGGCGTGGTGGAAGCTGTTCTGGAACTGCCACAGCATAGCTGGAGCTCCAGCGACGATACCGTTGAAGTCGTTCGGGTAGCGTAGTGCCGTCATAACGGCCTCTCGACCGCCGTCCGAGCATCCATTGAAGTAGGCATACTGCTGCTCCTGGCCATAGTACTTCTTAATTAAGGCCTTGGACAGCTCCGCTGTGTTGTGAACAGCTAGATACGCGTAGTCGATGAAAGCTTCTTTGTTTAGAGCAAAGGTACCGTCGGTGCCACCGTTCATATCCGTGGTGCCCATTGCGAAGTGCCCATTCTCGTACTGGTCCGAGCCTTCCGCTGCAACGACCGACAGCGCAGCCATCTCCGGCCCGCATAAACCACCGCAGCCAGCCTGTAGATAACGCTGCGTCCACGTGGCGATGGGAAGACGCAGTATCCACTTGGCTTGGGGAGGCAGATAACCCTCCAAGTAGCAGTACGACACACCATCCACCTCGGTCTCCGTTGCCTCCGTGATGTTGGTGCCGCTGCCGCCAATCGACGTGAGATCGACCGAAGCCAACTCAGAGCAGCTAATGACGGGCTCCACCACCGCGAGGCTCTCACCGCTACCGGCAGACGTCGTTGTCGTCGATGAGGTGGTTGCAGTCGTAGTCGAGGATGCCGTTTGCGACGATGTTTGGGTAGTCGAACTACTTGTCGTGGTATCGCTGCACTCGTCCGCGAAGACGGTGCATTGTGTGAGGAACGCAGCAACGATGAGCGGCGCGTAGAAGACCTTCATGAGTAATCTAGCCTCGCTGAGACGTGCTGGTGTTGCTTGGTGTTCCGATGCGTGAAGCGAGGAAAATGAATAATGACTTCGGCACGGCTAGGGAAGCTGTCGTTCTCTAGATTGAAGTACCAACGTGTCGACTAGTGCAAATCCCTGTCCACGGTCCACGGGAGTCAACGTATGACTGATTGTCGCGATTTCTAACCTGCTTTTATGCTCTCGATCTTCAAGGCAGGATTTAGTATCGATACTGAAACAAAGTGCATTTCACCGTGGAATACACTTTGCTTTTAGAATTTCCACGCGGGAGAATTTGTACTGTGTAGTCCTTGGGCCATACTAACCGTACGATACTTGAGGAGCGAAATTCCATCGACGTATTTGCTAGTCAATAATTTTTTAAGCTTCTGCATGTTTTTATGAGCTCCCCTCTTTTCGATGAACAATGTTCATGATATCGACGAGTCTACTTAGCTTTTCATGTAGTTGTGGTGTTGTTGCTTCTACAGTACAAGTGTTGTTCACCCAAGCGCATCAATGTCCAAACTGAAATAAACGCGACATCACCCGCGTAGAGCAGGAACATCGGATTATGCATTCGCCCAATCTTCGCCACTGAAACTTGAAGCGGGGAGCCCTGACGATCCAAGTTGACAACCTTATTGCAGGTCGTACTAGTGTGTGCAAGCGCGATGCATTGTGGGCTATAAATCAAGTACCTTCAACTACTGCAGTGCCCAAGTTCGAGTAGACACGTCAGCGTTGGCGGTGCTCGGACACTCTCTCTCTCTCTCTCTCTGCTCTGGTGCTAGCTAATATAATACTTAGAAGTAGTGTGGTGCATTATAGCCTAGATTCTGTTGGACATGACATACAGCACTGAAGGACTACTGGAATAAGTCTTTATTAGTAGAACAGCGCCGTAAAGGCTAAAGCACTGCTCGACTTTCTCTGACATTAGCGTTGTTCATCTCATTGCTGTCGGTGATGAATTGTGCCTTTCTATCATCTCCATCGTCGAATCTGATCTTTTTCAATCAACATCACGCTTTCTTTAAAAGTGGTAGTACGCTCTCGTGACATAGGATAACAAGTTCTTTCAGTCTCGAACCATCTTGCAGTAGTGCTTGCGTTATTGTTGCTGTCCCAGCGGCACAGAGAAGAACAATGGCTGTTGCTTGGTTGACAGTAAATTATCGCACGATTACCTTGGTACAGTATCGTATGTCGAAGTATGACCAATGAACGGGCTATATCGCCTACGAGATCCAAGAGCATCGAATGCTAGATTGGAGAAATGGTACAACAAGCACCCCCTTGCTCAATGACAACAAGTCTACTTGAAGTCAACATCAAACTGCGGCTCACAAACTGTATGACTGTCTTTAGCTACGAATCGCAAATGCAACAAACGCTAGCGCAGAAAGAAACTACGACTGACTCCTCTCTTTACGCACTCTGCTTACTCGTCAGCTGCCTTGGTGGCCTCCAGGTCCTTGAACATGGCGATGGCCTCCTCGAGCGTCTTGGTGCCCCGGACCTTGTTGTCGCGCGTACGGATGTTGACCGAGCGCGTCTCCTTCTCGTGCGCACCCACCACCAGGATGAAGTTGTAGTGAGCCATCTGACCCTCACGGATCTTCTTGTTCAGCGTCTTGCCAGAGTCGTCGATGTCCACGTCGAAGCCAGCGCGGAACAGCGCGTCCTTGACCTCGTAACCGTAGTCCACGAAGGCAGCACCAACCGTGACAATGAGGATCTGACGCGGCGATAGCCAGAACGGGAACTTGCCGGCGTAGTGCTCCACCAAGACGGCCACAAATCGCTCCAGCGATCCGTAGATAGCGCGGTGGATGATCACCGGGCGCTTGAAGTTGTCTGCGTCATCCGTACGGTACTTGAGGTTGAAGCGGATAGGCAGCTGGAAGTCGAGCTGCACCGTAGCGCATTGGTGCTGACGCTTGAGCGCGTCCGTGATCATAATGTCGATCTTGGGGCCGTAGAACGCGCCATCTCCCGGGTTCACTACCCACTTACCAGCACCCACAAACTCGTCCAGAGCCTGGGCCAGTTGCGTCTCAGCACGTTCCCATTGCTCCAGCTCGCCCATCGCCTTCTCGGGTCGAGTCGACAGCTCCAGGTTGAACTCGATACCGAACACGTCGTACACGTACTTCATGAAGGTGAGGAAGTCCAGAACCTCCTTCTTGATCTGGTCGTCTCGGCAGAAAATGTGGGCGTCATCCTGCTGGAAGCGACGCACACGCGTCAGACCCGTCAGCGCACCACTGAGCTCGTTACGGTGCAGCACACCACAGTCAGCGAGACGGATGGGAAGCTCACGGTACGAACGTTGACGGAAGTCGAACATCAGCGACGCAGCCGGGCAGTTCATGGGCTTAAGTGCGTACTCCTGGCCTTCCACGTCGAATACAAACATGTTCTCCTTGTAGTGCTGAGCGTGACCCGAGATGTTCCACAGTTCCATGTTGTAGATGTTGGGAGTGATGATCTCAGTGTATCCGCGTTCACGGTACTGCTCCCGAATGAACTTGAGCAGCTTAAAGTAGATGGCAGAGCCGTGAGGCAGCCAGAAGCCGCTGCCAGGACTCAGCGAGTGGAAGAAGAAGAGCTCCTCGCTCACACCGAGACGACGGTGGTCACGCTTCGCAGCTTCAGCCTGGAAATGTTTCCACTCCTTCATCTTGTTCTTGTCCGGGAACGAGATGCCGTACACACGCTGGAGTGCGTCGTTCGTGGTCTTGCCCAGCCAGTGCGAGCTCGACGTGCGCGTGACTGCCAGAGCCTTGATCTTGCCCGTGTGAGGCACGTGCGGGCCACGACACAGATCAATGAGCGGACCACAGCGATAAGCCGTCGTCTTGCCTCCGTCCGGGATCTTCGTGGAGATGATCTGCGTCTTAAACACGTTGTCGGCGAACATCTCGAGCGCCTCCTCCTTGGTCAGTACGATACGCTCGAATTTCTGCTTGTCCTTAACGACCTTCTGGCAGGCCTTCTCGATGACGCTCAGGTCGCTCTCGGGGATCGTCTCCGTGCCCATGTATGAGTCGTAGTAGAAGCCTCCCTCGACAGGGGGGCCAATAGTCAGGTGCGCGCCCTTAAGTGTCTCGAGACTCTCGCCCAGAATGTGCGCACTCGAGTGCCAGAAGACCATGCGGCCTTCCGCGTCGTCGAACTTGAGCAGCTCCAGTCTGCAGTCGCCGATAAGGGGGCGGAAAACATCCCAGAGCTCGCTCGAGTCAGCCACAGCGCCGCAGCAGGCTTCGCCGGCCTTGTCGCTGGCCTCGTTGCCGTCCACGTCGGCGGCCGTGACGCTGAAAGGGTCCTCGGGCTTGCCACGGTAGGTGACGCGAGCCACGACGACCTGGTCCGCCAGCCCCTGCGAGATCTCGAGCGCCACGTCCAACGGCGTCGTCTGCCAGGCCACTCCCTCCTTCACGGCGCCATCGGGGAGCGTGATCTTAATGGGCGTCTGCTTAGCGGCCAGTTCCTCCTGCTGCTTCTTCTGCTCCGCCATAATGCGGTCGTACACGGCCACACGTGCTGCCACGAAGGGAGGATTGGGCGTCAGAGTGAACGGACCGCCGATCTTACTCTCACTGGCGGCACCCGTCACCTTGGGGCCGCTCTCCTTCGTCAGGCGCGTCTGCACGCGCGCGGGTTCGCTGCTCATGATGCTGCTGATCTCTTCTGGCTATGGGGGGAGGTCGCCAAACCGGAAATGAACCATTGACTGGATCGCAAGGAGCGAGTACAGTAGCTGGTAGATTTTGCATTGCTTGTGCTGTATTAAATGTAAGAGGTGGATGCAAAGATAATGTTGCGTATTCAGAGCGGTCACAGTACATCGTGTCAAAGAAGTGAGTGCGGTACCGCAGACGAATGCTGCCAGGAGAAGTTTCTAAGCACAACTGTACTTTCATTCACTCTATGGTTCTTGCAGAGCCCAGCACACAGTGAAGGTCAATCGGAATCCGTTGCTTAGGAGGGGAGGCACACGGTAAGTAGGTGCAGGAGGGTGCAGCCACTTGAGGCCTCCCGTCCAGTGTCCTGTTGCGATTTGGTCCCTAGAGCTGGCGAGGGGGTCTGGTCTTCATTCATGAGTATCTACAGCGACGCGAGAGCGAGTTGGGCCTCCAGTTGACGGACTTTTTCCTTCAGCTGGAGGTTCTCTCCACGAACACCCGCGAGCTCCGAGTGCGCCGCTCGCAGCTCGCCATTGAGGTCCTTCTGCAGCGACTGGAACGACGCCAGCGTGTCGAACATCTTCTCGCGTCTGGCTTCCAGCTCCAGCACACGCGTACGCAGCTCTTCCTTGTCCATGGCCTCCGTGATGATCCGCGTGAAGATACTGAAGATGTCCGAGTCATCTGTAACATAACAAGGTTAGTACAAGCTTCAACAGAGCGTGATAACGGCAGATAAAACTCACCATTGGCGTAGTCATTGTCGACGATGTTGACCAGGAAGTAGGAGTCGTAGATGTGCTGGATGACCTCACGAGAACACGAACCCTCAGGGTAGGCCGACGCCCACTGCGTTTGCCACAGCTCGAACGCCTCGTCCTTCCAAGCAGCGAACGAGTCGGAATCCACGACTGTAGGTTGAACGATTTCAATTCCGGGGAAGACGCCCCACGTGACGGCCGTCACGCTGTGCAGCGGCGTATTGCGGTGCTCATCGCCCCGACGATTGAGGGCGTGGAACGACAGCTGAGGGTAGTCGCGTCGCATGACCTTGACGAGGTGTGCGATCTTCTCAGGGGCCACGAAGAACTCCACGTATGCCTTCTGGAACACTACACCATCGTCTCCTCCCCAGCCGACGGACGGATCACTGGAAGGAGCTCCGTTCACACGCGGTTGACTGTTGATCGTCAAGAAGCCGTTGGAGTTGAGCCACTGCAGGTTTTCACGAATAGCTGCACTCTCGAGCGACAGAGCCTGTTCACACCACGGGAGCTGCTTCACGTGGCCGTCGATGAAGCGAACGAACACGTTCCACACGTCCTCCTCGGTCTGCGGCGTGCCCCATAGCTCAGTACGTTGAAGCTTGGGTCGTTTGAAGGCGAGATAGTACTCGGACAGCTCACCATACGCAGGACTCGTGCGGTCTCCCCAGCGTCCGTTGGGGAACTCGTCCCACGCAGCAGTACGGGCGATGTAACTAGCCTGGCGGTTGGACCAGAAGATGGGGCGAACCTGCTCGCCTTCGACGGTAGAGCGCTGCAGTGTTGACTGCCACGGCAGCTCGCGCTGGTTGCGAGCAGGTAGTAGCTGCAGTCCTTCCAGCACCTGCGTCACGGTCGTGGCCAAGTTCATGGTGTAGAAATGCAGTGAGTTCACGCCGGCAGCCAGCAGACGTCGACAAGTCTCCACCGCTAACTGAGTACCGTAGCGACGCACAGCCGCGTCATCGTTCTTGATGGCATCCAGAGCTGTGAGCACCTTCTCAGGCACTCGGGTCTTGCACCAGCTCGTGAACTTGCAGAAGGAACTGTAGTTCTGGATCGGCAGGTACCCAGGTAGGATAGGGATAGTGATCCCTGCGTCTTTGCAGTCAGAGATCCACTGGATCATGTTGTCCACGTCGAAGAAGAACTGGGTGATGATGAAGTCGGCGCCTGCATCCTGTTTGGCCTTGAGTCGCTGCAGGTCGAGGGCGCGTGCCTCGTTGGACGGAGGCAGGTCCGGATGGTTCCACGACTCGGTATGCACCTCCGCGTAACCCGCACAGGCGATGCAGAAGTAGTCTCCGTGTTCCTCTCGGATGAGTTTGATGAGGTCCACAGCGTTGCTCAGTCCTCCCTCTACGGGGGACCAACGCTCGGCGCCAATGGGAGGGTCTCCTCGCAGAGCCAAGATGTTGCGGATTCCAGCGGCGCGTGCGTTCTTGAGGATTCGCTTGAGCTGCTCCGTGGGCAGATGGCACGTGAGATGCAGCAGCACATCGAGCTGGAATTCATTCTGGATGTGGGCTCCAATGCGCAGCCACAGCGCCTCGTCCTTGAAAGCCGAACGCCACGTGAGCGTCACGAACGTCGGCTGCAGCGCCAGCCCCATCTCCTCCACGCGCGTCAATAGGTTGAACACACCCGCATTCGTCTTGGCGGGGAAGAACTCGAAGGACACCGTGGGGCGGGCCGATGCGTCGTCCGCACGGGCCGCGTACGCACTGCGGATCGACTCGATAATCTTCCCCATGTTGCTGCTTGGTGGCGAATGGTGTGTAGCGAACGCAAACAAGTTTGAAAAAAATGTGGTACACATAATACAAAGTTGAAGTGGTGTACATTGAAGTGCTTGGCACACAACTAGAACAAGACATTTCCGAACTGGTCGTGCAGTAGCATCTGAAGCGAATCTGTGACGTGGATAGTAACAAGTCAGTCGCTTGTTTAACGCTCAAGTGTAGCCACAGTTAACTCACCTGAGAGATCGTAGACTGACGAGATCTTGCTGTCGAAGAAGACATACAACTCACGGTGCGACGTCTCCGACTTCTTGGCGAGCACCCAGCCGGCATGTCGAGTGCGAACGCAGATCTCGCGATTGCCAGCACTTGCAGACTTGTGCAGCTCCGCGTGAAGGTCATTGACTAGCGTCAGCATAGATGACGGAAAATAATGTGCCAGCAACTTGACAGGAATCGGGAACAAGTCGTCCTCCTTGCTCTTCAGAAGTCGTGGCACGTATTGCATCCGGAACGCAAGGTTGACACGGTTAATGTACAGGAACGGAGGAAGCGGATGAAGACTCGGGGCGCTAGAGTAACAATCACAAGTCAGCCTCTGCGAATACAAACTTTGCCAGTGATAACGTACCTTTTCTCAGGAGCGAATGTGGCTTTGTAGCGCGCAAGGATGAGTTCTGCCAGGGTCTGGAACCGCCGCTGTCTTTCGAGATAGCCTTTCAAGTGCTCGAGTGTGGTGGTATTCAATCCGCCTGGTTTCGCGTTGGATGCCTCCACTTCCAATCCATTGAGACGAAGTAAGATAACCATCGTGAGATCTGCTTCATGCCACACCACTACTCGATGTCTTGCCATTGTCTCTGTGGTCGTTGAGGTCGTTAAAGCAGGGGAAGCTTCACCCAAACGGAAGATGTGTGGACTCCATACCGCTTCTGTTTCACTTGAAGCATTTTCAGATGCAGTTTCTGGGTTTGCATGAAGAAATTTGGAAAAGTGGCCATCTTTCAGCAATAGACCAGCATTACGATACGAAATAGACCGAGCCCGTGCTTTCATCGCGCTCTTGGAAGTAGCAGGACTTGCTCCATTGCTCCGAGGCCCACCAAATCGAGTCGCTGAAGCAGGAGAATGTGAAGGAGAGCCAAACGGTGATGACTCCCCCGCCACACCAGCACGTGGTGTCGAGGAAGGGGTCAGCAGATTGCCACTCCCAGAAGAAGGCTGTGCTTCTGACAGGAATGTTGAGAGTGAGACGGGATGCTGCTTGTGCAATGATCGGGCAGCCTTGCGCAGATGAGGGGGTCCATTTTCTGTTTGGAATACGGCATCGCATTCTGCGTAGGAAAGCTTGCTGGACCAAACAGGAAGAAATGTATCATCGTATGCATTGGCCATCCACAGCTCAGCGTCGATACTATTTGTTCCTCTCAGACCAGGATACGATTCATCTCGCTCTGTTCCGTCGCCTCGGATCATAGTCATGCCACGCTCTTCGCGCAGTTGAAGGAATTTATACAGCAACTGCATCGTAGCCGTTTCCATAGAACTCCACAATAAATTCCCCTTGAAGAATAACGCAGAGCTCTCCACTTGTTCTGCTCCAGTACTTTCGTTGGAGAACTTCATTTCGGTGTGGAAACCATTTATAAACGTTTGCAAAGCTAAGAATGTGGGCTGGTCCATTGGGAAGTACCCGAGACCTTGCAGCTCCGAGAGCCCACTCGATCCGCGAACATCCAAAGCTTGTAGTAATGTGGGGAAAAACCTGGCACATTTTCTCTGCAGTAATAACGCTGGAGACTGTGATACCAGAGTCTCTAGCGCTGCTTCCACTGCTAACCTGCTCTCCTGTAGCTCCATCATCATGTTATCATCGTGCTGTTGGTCTTCATCCACAGACTGGGTATGCGTATCGATCGCAATCCGAAACTTCCGCAGTCGTTTACGCGCCGCAGCGATGTCCATCAAGAGATCCATTCCATCAGCGTACTTCGTCGTCTGCCCCGAAGTCGTCTCGTCAATGCCAGATGGTAACAAGCGTAAGTTGCTACATGTAAAGCAACCACAACAACCATGAAGCTTGCATGCCAATAGCGTTTTGAATCAACTGCAGATAACTCACCTGTCAATACTCCCATGAAACAGTCGGAACATGTCGTACATCTCTCGAAGTAGGGCCTCGTAACCACTCCTGTGGTCACTCTACCACATCGTGTCTACAGCATTAGCAAAATGACACGGCAAAAGGCTAAAATCCATGGCAATATCGTACAATCTCTACTGTCGGTTGCACGCCCTACAGCAGCAACGACACAGAGCAAGCCACCAAACAGTTAACGCTTCCCACCACGATCCACTTTGACTGATTGCCGGTCACCCTCGTACCAGCGCCATGAAGATCTGCGGCTCCACCTTCAGGATAAAGAATCTTCTCCTGGACAGCGTCACACTCGTCCACTCGGGCGTCCACTCTGTCGTCTCCGTCTTCACATCCTCGCCTCTGCGTCGCAGCATCCGTACGAACGTAAGCAGTCCCTGCACCAGGTGGAGACTCTGCAACAGCCGCGCGTCATCCTCACAGTCCTCCTGGGAATATAACACGCGTGCGTAGACCTCGTCGTCCGCTGCCTGCTCGTCATCCGAGCCCAGCGCCTCGTGCCACAATAACAGCATCCTTGAAGTCCGAAAATGTGAAAAAGGGTTACTCTAATTCTGATTCCGAATCAGAAAAACTCTTGGTGGTCATTTTTGGTTGTCATTTGTCAATATGGGCAAGAAGCGAGTGGACCGAGGCCCGCCGTCGCGCAAGGATCGTGGGCGCGGCAAAGGCGCTGGAGCTGCCCCCGCGCGCGGAGAGGAGGAGAGTGAGACGAGCTTCCGACGTCGCGCGTTTCCCGTCACGCTGCGCATGTGGGATTTTCAGCAGTGTGACTCGAAGCGCTGCACGGGACGCAAGCTCTGCCGTCTGGGCTACATTAAGAGCATGAAACCCGGCGCGCATTTCCGTGGACTCGTGCTGTCACCCGCGGGTGAGCACATCGTCTCTCCTGCGGACAGGACCATCGTGGAGGGCACGGGCATCTCGGTGATTGACTGCAGCTGGGCCAAGGTGCAGGAGCTGCCTTACAAGCAGCTACGCTCAGGCGTGCACCGCCTGCTGCCGTTCCTAGTGGCAGCGAACTCGGTGAACTATGGACGGCCACACAAGCTCTCGTGTGCCGAAGCGATTGCAGCCACGCTGTACATTGTGGGACTTAAGCAGGAAGCCATCCAGCTCATGGACGAATTCTCGTGGGGCGCTGAGTTCCTCAAGATCAACGCGGACTGTCTGGAGGCCTACTCTGCTTGCAGTAACAGTGAAGAAGTGGTGGAGGCCCAGGTATGGAACTGGCTGCTTTTTTTGCTTCCGTTGGAGATGCTGATTGAAAATGTGTTGTTTGTGAGTATAGGACGCGTATTTGGCTGCTTGCCAGACTGAACACGAGGAGCGCTTGCAACGGATGAATCTGCCTAGTCTGGAGAGTGATGACGACGATGAGGAGGAGGAAATTGAAGAGGAGATGGAGCTTGATCGCTTTGGAAACAGCATTCCGCGTCAAAAACCGACTGAGGTGAAGACTGAAGAGGAAGAAGCGGAGGAAGAGACTACTAGTGAGCCGACGAAGGAGCAGCAGCTCTACAAAAGCAAGACGTATGGGTTTCAGACTGAAGGGCCTGATTCCGACGAAGAAATCGCCAACTTAACCAAGAACTTGCACATGTCCGCGGAATCGGTTAAGAAGACCCAAGAGCTGCGCGAAACGATGAAACATGCTCGTCTTGACGGAGATAAGGAGACGTACGCGTACTCGTCAATGGAGGACGTTCACCGGCAGCAGGTGGCGACTGTGTGCTTGGAGAGAACAGCGGTCGCTGTGTCTGGAGACGCCGTCCTACAGCTTCCCGAATCCGTTTTTCACCAGTGGGCGAAAGATTCCGAGAAGCAGCCGTCACAGGTCGACTAGAGAGGTCAGGACGTTCTTCTAGTAGGGCGCCCTCTAATCTAAAGTCTACTGTGCTTTGCCACGCGGTTATCATTATCACTTATGGTTTTGCTCGAATTACCGTGTATAGTGGTACATGTAGAGCACGAAGCTTGATAAAAATTGTAGGCAACACAATACTAACGGACCTGCATATTCCCCAGAGCTTACTTCTAGAACACAAACTTTTGAAGAGTGACATGACATTCTTTGTGGAATTGCTTTTTAGTGGTCGATGACTTGAAGCTGATCCTTACAAAAACTACGATTAGTGATGTGAAATGATTGAATAGGTCAAGAACTCGATGGTAGTCTCATTTCCGAGTTGATCGCATGTCTCGCATGGGGTTTCTGCGCAATATCGCTGGGTCGGTGATTGCCGTCTCGCTGGCCGCACTGGTGGCTTACTACACAGATCTGCAGCTATACGCGGCTGTGTGCGTGGGTATTCAATGGCTGTCGGCGCTCTACGCCGTCCCCAAGCAGGACGAGCGCTTCTTCGACCTCACGGGCTCTGTCACCTACGCGGTGGTGTCACTTTTGGCCTACAACCGCAGCAGTTCCGTCTCCTGGCGTGAGTCGATGCTGACTGTACTTGTGTGGCTCTGGTGCTTGCGTCTCGGCTCCTTCCTGTACCTGCGCATCCGCGAGTGCGGCGAGGACAAACGCTTTAAAGACATCCGCGTGAATCCGCTGCGGTTCCTCGGGGTTTGGAGTATCCAGGGCCTCTGGGTTCTACTAACTGTGCTTCCCGTGCTACTGACGCTTACACGCGGCGTCCACGACCTGCGGGTGTCGCCGCTGGACGTCGTTGGTGTCTTCCTATGGATCGTTGGCTACGTGATGGAGGTCACAGCCGACTATCAAAAGACGCAATTCCGTCGCGATAAAAGCAAGGAGGGCCAATTTATCCAGAGCGGGCTCTGGTACTACAGCCGCCATCCCAATTACTGTGGAGAGATCATGATGTGGGTCGGTGTGTTTCTTGTTAGCGTGCACACGCTGCCGACCACGGGGCTGAAAACCTGGGCTGCTGTGAGCCCCGCGTTTGTGACGTTTCTGCTCATGTTCGTGTCGGGGGTCCCTCTGCTTGAAAAGCAGGCCGAAGAGCGCTGGGGCGAGACAAAGGCGTACCAGGACTACAAGGCACAGACGAGTGTGCTGCTGCCCATGCCCAAGCGCAAATTGAAGACAGCGTAAGAGAAGAAAAATTACCAGGAGATCAAGTTGGATACGCTGGCATTGGAAATGCCCCGAGTCCGTTAAGGAAAAGTGCAAGTTTTGGAAGGGGTCACTAGTAGTGACTCACTACATAACGCAATATTCATAAAAACAAAAAAAAATAATACTGAAGTAATACGATAATCGCAACAATTTAATTCCGCTCCGATGCAAGATGATGCGGTGCTACTCGAGTCGGCAGCGTCTGCGTCCGCGAACTTCGACGCCTTCGCGTGGGTAGAGGAGGCGCTAGCCTCCCGCTCGGGGGACGCGTCGGCCTTGGCGCCGCTGGTGCCACAGCTGGCTTTGCGCTCGCAAACGCTGGCTCAGACGCTGCATGCGTCATTGCAGCACGTTTCGCTGTCGGCTCCCGCGTTGCAGACGCGTCTCCAAGGGCTGCAACAGGCCTCCACACCGCTGGCACGACGGCTGGATGCTGTGCAGGAAGCCTGCGCCTCAGGCTCCGTGTCCACCTCGTCCTCGGCTGCCTCAGGGAAGGATCTGCGTCATCTAGTTACGCTGCACGAGGCCAAGCGCCGATTACAGAGCTGCTCACAGGCGCTAGTGGAGGCTGCGAGATGGGGACGTAACGTGCGCGCCTGCTTCGCGGCTGTGGAAGACCCAACGCTGCTGTCTCATGCGCTCAAGGGCGACAACGCCAAGCTCAGTGTCCGTACAGCAGACAGCGACATAGCCGACAACCTGGCCGACCGCGTGCGTGAGATGAAGGCGAGTCTGGACGTGCTCAAGGACCTGCCTGGTGCCTGGGACCGCAAACAAACGATGGAGAGACTCTGCGCGCAGATTGAAGCAGCAATGCAGCCACGACTCGCCACGAAGCTTCGAGAGGACGATCTAGGCGACGTGGCGCCGCTGCGCTGGTGTCTTGATGTGCTCAGCAGCGTGGACAGAGCTCATCTCGTGAGAGAAGAGTACTGCAGAGCGAGACCTGCACATGTGCACCGTGTGTGGTACACCTACAGCGACGAGATGCAGACCGAGGTGGACGAGAAGGACGAGAAGGAAAAACTCTTTGCCAGTTGGCTGGGAAACTTCTATGGAGACGTCCTGCGGATGCTACAGCGTGAGAGTCGCAACACTAGGGAGCTTTTCGGCACCGATATGCTGATTAACGTGCTGCTCGAGCTGCTCCACAATACGCTGGAGCCACTCACCAAGTCCTTCCGCGACCGCCTTGTGCACAGCGGGCCTTCTGGCACGAATTTCCGTCTTGGACGGCTACTGCTCTGCTTCCACGCGACGCGAGCATTTGCTGGTCAGTTAGTGCAGTTGTTCCGATCACTGGAAGGAGAATATGACGTGAAGTTGGCTGGAAATGACGACACAGCTTCGAGCGCTGGAGAAATTCTAAGTGTTGTCTTCGAGCCGTATCGACTGTACTTCACAGAGTACGCTCGTTTCACAAGTGAGGCCCTTACAGATGCATTGCTGCGTCTTGTGCCAGCTTTCAACGCGAAAACTAACTCACAAGAACTCACTGGAGACGAGTATGAAGAAGAACGGGGTGCAGCAGACACTGCACCACTTGAGGACTTCTCTCAGTGTCTTGAGGAAGCTTCGGAGGCAGCCTGGACGCTTGTGGATGAGAGTTTGCAGCAGTGCTACGAGTTTTCTGGTGGTTCTGCGTTCCCGGAAGCGGTGGAAGCAATTGGTATGGCTGTGCAGCAGTTTACATTGACTTTAAGCGCGACAATCCCTGCCATCCGCAAATACTGCAAAGCTGAGCCTGCAGCACAACTGGAAGGTAGTACCAGTGGATCGCTAGTTGCTTCTCCTGATTGGAGTCAGTTCCACGCATCGTTAGCTCTACTGAAGGCCTGCGGGACTATGGAAAGCCAACTGTGTGCACTTGACGGTCGGGTGCGCGTTCGGATGCGTGAGCAACTTGCTCAGTTCTTCGGCGAAACAGCAGGATCCTTGTCGCCGCGCAGTCGTCGTAAGAAGAGCCACGAGGTTACAAGTATCGCGCTAGCTGACCTTGTAGATCCGACCAAACTTGTGGCAGCAGTGTCAAAGGCCTGGCTTCACGATGAGGATCCCACTCGACAATCGCAATTCCATCAGTTCGAGATGGAACTACTGGACCAGTCGACAGGATCACCAGGCTTTGATAGCTCTTCATCTCGGTATCCATCTGCAACGGTACGTACATCAGGCTTTTGTATCTATTCCGTTATTCTGACTTACATTGCAAACTTTGCAGGTGCTGGACGAAGCTCAGCGTGCCGTGCGTTCATGGACGAAGGACGTGCAGCTCCTCACGTACGACACTGTTTTCTTACCTATTGCACGGGTACTAGAGACGCTGCCCGCCAACGAGGTACGTCATTATCGCGGTCTTTTTATCATTTCTTGGAGCTAATCCTTCTTCATTTCGATTGTAGAATTGGCGCAAAGTGCCGGATGCGGCTCTGGGAGATCTACCAACCTTCAGTATGCTGCCGCAAGACTACATTACAATGGTGGCTGACCTTCTACTGTCGCTGCTTCCTCAGCTCGAGCCTTTTGCAGAGAGTAGCAGTCTTGAGAACGCCTTTGTGGCCTCACGTGGCGCCCAGGAAGTGTGCGTTCAGAGCGAATGGGCTCGACTTGGTCAGCTCTTACACTTGGAACCCTCGGAGCTCGCGACGTGTCAGCGGATTTTCGGCTCGGATGGCAAATCTGCTGCCACTGAACCAGCACCGACAGCGACGGAGTTCGTCGACTTGTGGACTGCGGCGGTGGCTAGCGGTACTCTGGCAGCATTCCTACGTACGATGTGCTCCATCTCGATGCTGTCAGACATGGGGGCTCAGCAGTTGGCTGCAGATCTGGGCTACTTCCACAATGTGTTGAGCGCCGTGGGCGGGGAGGGCAATTTTATCGTTGATGACCTGCGTCGTGCGCTGGAAATGGACCTGCCTGCACATATCCAGCACGTCGACGAGTTGCGAGCTGACCGGGACAGTCCAGAGAACCAAGCACTCGTTAAAATTAACGACTGCGTGGCCGCCATGCGCCAACGAGCGCTGGAACCACCACGTCGATTGTCTACAACTAGCGCTGGCTCAGCAGCATCGTCAGCCCAGTTTAACTAGCTGGTGGAGAGATCTAAAAATGAGTAAGACCGATAGTGCTGCACTTTCCTTTTTGGACGGCGTGAGCTTGAACGTTGATGAGTGACGACGATGGCGTCAATCTACTTTCACTACAATGAGCTGCTTCGCTTGAGTGCAGAGCAAGCGGTCATGACCGAGGACCAGCAGCAGGATGAGAAGAAGCCTGAGATGCGAGTCAGGGCGAAAGAGAATCAAGACGAAGATGGAGCTCTGAAGACCGACATTGAAGCCACGCTGGCCGCGCTTCAGCCGCGCATGAACCGGCTCGCGTACCTGCAAACGGCGACAGCGACGAACCTGGATGCTTTAGCGAGAGCTCTTGGGCCCAAGCTGTAACACCTCGCGATATCGACGTACATGTACGCAGCCAGTAGGCAATGCACTGCTAACAAAATTTATTCTAGCGGCCATTCTGCCGCTTCACATACGTCTACTACATTCGTACGTCGTCGGTATTGATCACGATCTTTCGTTGCTTGAGCCGCTACTTAGCGACCTGGACGAGAAGAAGCGACGCTGACGCAGCAACACCTGCCACATTTTGTCTAGAGATTTTTGGCGGGTCACGTTCCTGCCATCACTAGCAGCATTGGCCTCTGTCGTATACCCGTTCGCGGGGATGATACTCTGGGAACGGCCTGTCCCGGGGTCGGCTACGACGTCTTCGTCGTCGCTGTTCGTGTTCATGTTGTTGCCCCCCATCTCGAGGCTAGCAAGCCGCATGAAGCAATCTGCACTGGGGCGTTCCTGCTGCACTTCCTCGTCCAACAGCAGCGGAGTGCCGTGCGTAGACATAAAAGACGGACGTGCTTCCTCTTCGCCCGCTTCTTCCTCCAGGGTTTCACGTTTTAGCACAGCACCTCCACCAAGACTACTACGGGGACCATCACTTGTCAGCGTACTATTCCTACTTGGAGGAGCATTTGCCACTTCACTCTGGTTGTCCAGTCCACTCACGGCTGAACTGGCCGATACGGACGGTCTGTACGCGACTGCAGCTACCTCCTCCGCATACCGCGCAGTGAACAGGTCGTGCTGCACCAGTATCTCGGTACTCCAGCTGACAGCAGGTGCTACGCCTCCGTTAAGCCATGGGTGTGCTACCACCTCTTCAATACTCATGGCAGCAGCAGGGTTCTTCTCCAGCAGTCGACGTAGCAGGTCCCTCGCCGCACGACTCAGCAGCGCTCCTCCCTCCGGGAATGTCAATTTGTCCTGCAGCATGCGACGCTCAATGTCTATGACGTTGCTCTCCTGCTGGCTGCCATTACTGAACGGGAAGCAGCCGCACAGCATCACGTACAGCGTGACACCGAGTGCCCACACGTCGATCTGCTGCGCCTCTCTCCAGATCGTAACGAGGCGCCCTCTATCATCTTCATGTTTGACTCTATTCCTGCGTCTAAGTAGAAACGGCGGTAGGAACCGGATGTGGTGTGTATCGTCCCACAGGAATCCTCTAGTCCGGGGACGACAGCGCAGCGTCAGCGACCGCCAAGGTGCCGCCCGCCCAAAAGCAGCAAGAAGCACCCGCGCGTCGGGTTCGTCATCGCTGAAGAGAAGATGTTCAGGACGCACTTCTCCATGTACGATACCTCGTTCGTGGAGGAACTGCAATCCCAGCGCGGCCTGCTTTATCACGCGGCTGACATCCCGTTCGGAGTGCAGTCTAGCCAACACCTCACCGCCCCTGGCCAACTCGAACGCCAGCTCCACGCGCGTACCCGTCGATGTCACCTCGTGGAGCTGCAATAAGTTTTGGTGGTCATGTGCCAGCTGTAACACTCGCACTTCTTGTCGGAGACGGCGGCGAGTAGCACGTTGACGTAGCAGGCGACGGTCCAGTACTTTGAGAGCAACGAGTTCCTGCGTCACGCGATGACGAGCCGTGTAAAGACCCGGACGGGGTTCCAACCCAGGAGTAGACACAGCAGACGCAGGAGAAGGCATTAGCGGTCGCAGATCTGCCCAGTTACTAGTCGGTGCCACGTCCGACAAGCGGCAGATGCAGCCAGCACATTTGCCGAACCACCACATTTCGGAATGGAAGACTGTAGTGTTGACGACTTGTACATTCGTACTTAACGAGGAGGTGGCAAACATTCGTACTTTATAGAGACTTCAACGACCACATTACGGCAACATTATCCTTGGGAAGACATTGACCATTTGACTTATCATTTGTATCTTGTCTTACAAAACCCGAGTCACAAGGAGAAATGTTACTCCAATTGTACCCTCGACAAATTGTCGTCGTCGATAATGGCGACGCACTATGGGCGACACTTGGAGAGGCTGCAGCGCGGCGAGCACTTAGAAGTTAACGCCGTATTGGCGCTATGCGAGCGAGTGAAGGATCTACTTGTAGAGGATGACAATGTGGTGCACGTCGCGTCCCCCGTGGCGGTGTGTGGCGACATCCACGGACAATTCCACGATCTGTTGGAACTCTTCAAGTTGGCGGGCCAGGCTCCCGACACGAGCTACATCTTTCTGGGCGACTTTGTAGACCGCGGCGCCATGAGCGTAGAGACCATCTCGATGCTGTGTGTACTCAAGGCCAGCTACCCGGACCGCGTGACGCTGCTGCGTGGAAATCACGAATCTCGCCAGACGACCCAGGTCTATGGCTTCCAGATCGAGTGCATGAAGAAATACGACGGCGACGCGCGGATCTACAAGGCCTTCATGGAGCTCTTTGACTTTCTACCACTGGGGGCGCTCATCGATAATAGTTTGCTCTGTCTACACGGCGGCCTTAGTCCGGCACTGCACCATTTGGACCAGCTACGAATGCTCGACCGCTTCCAGGAGATCCCTCCGGACGGAATCTTTGCTGATATTGTGTGGTCGGACCCGGACTCCAAGACTCTGGGCTTTCACATGGTAAGGGAGGAAGCAGTAGGCAATGGAGGCACGTGACTAAATTGTTGTGCTGGCTTACTGTAGTCGCCGAGAGGAGCGGGGTACATCTTTGGAGAGGACGTGGTGGACAAGTTTCTGCACATGAACAAGCTGGCACACATGGCGAGAGCACATCAGCTGTGTATGGAAGGGTATCAAGTACTGTTCCGAGACACGTTCTCCACGGTCTGGAGTGCGCCGAACTACTGCCATCGCTTTGGAAACCTCGCTGCTGTCATGGCCGTAGACGACCACCTTGACGTAAGATTGGAAACCCAATGCTGAGTGCTTCATGTGGAGCTAACACTTGTGATGTATTCGCTACGACAGCGCACGTACAAAACCTTCAAGGAGGCGCCGTCTTCGAGGAACATTGGCGTGCTGGACAGCAAGGGCACGAGCTCGGACGCCATCGACGCCGGCTACTTTACGTAAGTCGAGAAGAGCATTTCGAACACTAACGAGACACACAAAAAGTCGATAGATTTTGTACTACAGAGCTGGAGTGATGCAGTTTGACGCGGACTTGTTTGTTCACTTAGTGGTGACGTCTCTTCTTGTCTTTGCGGTTCTTGGAGCGGCGCTTGTGATCCTTCTTGGCCTTCTCGTAGGCTGCTGCGATCTGCTCCATTGTCTTGAGATGCAGAGGCTTCATCTTCGTCTTGACGCACTTGTCGATTTCCAGTGCATCAAACACCACCAGCGACTCCGGATGATTGTACAACTGCGCGTTGCCCACCATGAGGTTGAAATCCGCTTCAAACTGGTCGTGGGAGGCGTAGTAGTACATGTCCAGACGCGCCTTGATGGTCGCCAAGTCCATTGGCTCTTTCACGATCGTGTAGTAGTCCGGGTAGTCCACTGCTGATGGCTTCTCCATGTACAATTCCGAGCGAAGACGTCCAGTAGGGTCCTTGAGCTTGATAACGGCGTCATAAACCTTCTTGTAGTAGTAGCAAAGCATCTTGCGTTCACGCCTCCCAGCATCATCATCGTTGGGATTGTCATCGACATCGATGGCGTTAGGATCCACGAATTCTTCGTCCTCGTCTCGTTTCCGCTTGCTTGGCTTGGATTCCTTTGGACTCTTCACTGCCGCCTTCATCTCGTTTTCGTCGATACCGTCCTCGCACATTTTGACAAACTCTGCATCCGTGAACTGGTCGCGATACGACATTTCCTTGCGCTTGCGAGGTTTGCCAGCGACTGTCTCCATATCGAAGTTCCAAGCGTCCTTGTCGTGTTTCCCCGTGGCGATGTCGTGCTCCATGACATCGTTGGCTTCGCGTAGCCAGGCTGGAGCATCCTTCTCAGCCATCAGTCGAGAGCGGGGAGAGTAGGGGACGTTGTACTGCTTGCAATAGTCTTCCCATTCCTTCGTTTCACGGGCAATACGCTCAGCGTCCAGGCGATGATACAAGGCAAGTTCCTCGTCTGTTAACGCCATCATCTCGTTGATCTCGTCGTCCAGTAGGACATTTGACGACTCATCGTCCCCATGAGCAGCATGTGCAGCCTCCTCCTGTTCCATCTTGATAAGACTTTCCAGCATTGCACGCCGCTCTGCCTCCTTCGACTTGTTGTTGAATTTACCGGCCTCCACGACCAGGTTGTTCATGTTCATCTTGTCTGTAGCACGCGAGAGGATCTTCTCTTCCACGGGGCTATTGGTCACAAGTCGGAAGACGCGCACCTCATTCTTCTGCCCAATGCGATGCGCTCGATCCTGAGCCTGCGCATCCATGGCAGGATTCCAGTCACTGTCGAAGATAATGACAGTATCAGCCGTCGCGAGGTTCAATCCGAGACCACCAGCGCGTGTACTCAAAAGGAAGATGAAGAACGGCGAGTCCGGGGCGTTGAACATGAACATTCGCTGTTCACGCTCGTCTGCACTTGTTGAGCCATCCAGACGGAGGTACCGGAACCCGCGGTAGTTGAAATAGTCCTCCAAAACGTGCATCAGCTGCGTCATTTGACTGAACATCAGCACGCGATGGCCTGCAGCTTTCAGCTTCGGCAGCATACGGTCGAGTAGCTCGAACTTACCCGAGGACCGTACGATATCGAAATCAATCTGGTACCCATTGGTCTGGAAGAGGTACGGGTGGTTGCATACTTTACGCAACTGCATCAACACGTTCGACAAGCCTTTGGACGTATACTTGGCCTTTCCCTTCTTCTTGCCACTGCCATCTGTCGTCTCCATGAGAAGCGCTCCTCCTTCCTGGATACGGCGGTACATGATCTTCTGCCATCCCGAGAGTTCGCATTTCAGCACCTTCTCCACCTTGTCAGGGAGCTGATCAAGCACAGAAGCCTTCACACGTCGCAGTAAGAACGGGCGTAGCACCTGATGCAGTCGGTTGATAATCAACATTCGCTCTTCGTCAGATAACTCGTTCGAGTCACCATTACCCGAGAATTGGGCAAAAGGTTTGCTAAACCACTGCTCGAACGTGTCCACAGACTCGAAAATAGTCGGCAGCAAGAAGTTCAGAAGCGCCCACAGCTCAGGCAGACTATTCTGCAGCGGCGTACCAGTCAACAGCAGTCGGTTGCGCGAAGTGTACATACTGCCCAGCGTCATGGCAAACTTACTCTGCGCATTCTTCATGCGGTGACCTTCATCCACAATAATGTACTGCCAGTCGTACTTACGCAGCACGTGCTTGTCCTTCATGATGTACTCGTATGTTGTCAGAAGCACATTGAATTGGCACGACGCCATTTCCTGCTTGTGAAGCTCCTTGCGTACCTGTGGAGGACCCTTATACACCACAAGCACGAGATCAGGTGCCCACTTCTTGAACTCGTTCACCCAATTCGACAAAGTAGACAGCGGCACCACCACTAGGAATGGACCGTGGTTATGCTTGACCTCCGTCACGTAAGTGAGCAGCGAAATAGACTGGATCGTCTTACCTAGACCCATTTCGTCAGCCAAGATACCATTGAGGTGGTTGTCATAGAGCGACACCATCCACTGTAAGCCTCGCAGCTGATACTCCTTCAGATCGCCACCAACCAACATGAGAGGCTGTCGTGGTAATTCTCCTTTCGACGCGATCTCCAAGTAGTTGAGATCATCATCCACGTCGTCAGCATTCGTATCCTTACTGCCACCATGATGGGCGTCGTAATGCGCAGTGTACTCGTCCACAAGGTGGTGCTTCTGCTTGTGTTGGCGCACCAACTTTCGAATGCTATCCAGATAGCTGTTCGTCTGGCTCAGCAGGTACGTTAGACGCTCGTTCTTGGCTTCTGCCACCAGTTTACCATAAGCCTCCATGTCATTCGCCTTCAGAGCCTTGAGACGAAGCTTCTCCTGACGATCTTCCTCACGTTCGGCCTTGGAGGCTCGTTGGTCGATCAAGGCTTTAACAGCCTTCGCAGACTTGCTCACCTGCGCCTTGACGTTCTTGTGGTATGCGAAGAACTCGCGCGAGTGGTTGAGAACAGCCTTGAGGTACATTTGATGGTCTGCACGTCGCTTCTTCTCCATCGCCACGGACTTTTTGCGCTTCTCCCGCTCGTCACTCTGCAGTTCCACACGTGAGACTGGACGACGACGTCGGAACGACTTGCGGTCGACTGCTGAAGGCTCTCCCAGTAGAGCTAGTCGGGTTGTGTGCGCCTTGGCCACATGACGTCGCAGTTTCTGCTGTAGCAACACACAACGCAGATCTCTCAGCGTGCGTTGCTCATTCTCGTCCAGATCTCCCGTGTGACTCTCCAGTTTCTCCAAACTGGAAGCCAAGAACTGCTGCAGCGTGTGCATGTACCGCATCTTTAACCCCACGTCGTTTGTCCCGAGCCAAGGCGTGCAGATATTGAAGGGACCGAACGCCAAGTTGCCCTTGTTCTCGATTCCAATGAGGTCTCCGTCCAGATAATTCGGGCCAACGTACAGCAAATTGCGAGCGGCTCTTGTCCACTTGGGGGTCATGAGTTCCAGCACTGGAGGGTCCACAACAGAGGGTGGAGGCTGTTGAGTGGCCCCCATCATCGCGTTGGTGGGGTCCATTGGCTGCATACTGAGGCCTGCCGCACTGAGCTGTTTGGCCTGTGCAATGGCCGTGTCCATCGAGTGACACAGAGCCTTGTAGGCGCGGATCTGGTTGTGCAGGTACTCGAGCTGCCTGTCCGAGAAGAGAGTTGTCTTCTGCTGCATGAAAGGGTTAGCAGCCACGTCCAACGACTGGGGAGGCGCCTGAGATTGAGCTGGAGGCTGCATCTGAGTCTGCATCTGCTGCTGGCGCGCGCGATGTTGCTGCTGATACTGCCGCAGTATCGTCACGATCTGCTGGTACTTTGGGTGGCTCTTCTGGCCTGCGCGCTGCATACGCAGAGCTGCATCCATCAGCTTTTTCACATCCGCGGGCGTTAGCGTCACACGCGGCGCAGCGGAAGCCCCGGCCGTCGACTCCATCACGCTGATCTCCAAGAGGACGCTTTTAGATGGCGGAAATGGCTTTGACTTGCGTTCATTATGCTTCCTCAATTACGTGATAAACACAAATTTATGTTTTGTACACAACACTTGAAAGTGTAACATGCGTAACATTGGGTAACATCGTCATGCTCTTCTAACATCTCCCTGTGATGCATTGCTGCTAAGATAGGTCCCTAGACGGACCATCATAATCTAAGAGAACGACGCGCGGTCGAACACGTGGAGAGGGAGCGACTTGGTCATGAGCCTGAAGTACGCCATCTGCGAGTCCGTGGGCTTGTCTGCGGCAGCCAAAACGAGAACGTCAACATACACCTTTCACAACAGAACTGTAACAAGAGGGACGCACCGTGCAGGAAGCTGACTTGGTTGTAGTAGGAGACGACAGTGGACAGCTCCTCGGGCGTGTACGTGCGCATGGTGGCGCGGATCTTGCGGTAGTCCACCTGCTGCTTGAAGTGCACCTTTGTGGGGAAGTTCTCCGTCGCAGCAGCGACGAACAGACCGTTCTTGAGCTTGCGCGACTCGTTGTAGCCCTTAGCGCCAATGTCCTTCAGTGCAGCGATCACCGAAATGTCATCGGCCGCCACATCCTTGCCCTCGTAACCAAAGACAGTCGGCTGGAACCAAGTGTTGTAGTCGTCAATGGCAATCAGCACGGGGAATTCTGTGGTCTGGGCCAACTCCTCCTTCAGGTCGCACACAGCCTGGCATGCCAGTTCCTCGTCACGCACACCACCGACAACCACATCACGCAGAGTCAGGGCGGCGTCCTTGTAGTCCGCAGCGTTCTTAGGCTTGGACTCGTACTTGTCGGTAGGGTAGTAGCGGTCGGCGTATTTGCCGCGCAACGGGATGGACTTGAGCTGTTCACCATGGCAGTGCAGGAACTTCTGCAGTAGATCCACACCGTACACATCGATGTCGAATTTACCCTCCTGGTAGGGCGACTGCATCACATACGGAGCCTCGTTGGTCCACGAGCGCGGGTTGGGAATGTAGAGCACCACCCAGTTGCTCTCACGAGCATACTGCACGATCTGGTGCAGCGCAAAGCTCTTGCCGGTGCCGCGTTCGCCATCGATCAGGTAAGCGCCGATTGAGTCGTTCTTGGCGGTCTCCCAGTCTGAAAACATGAAGACAGTAGCTAATTAGTCGATGATACAGAAACTACAGCTTATATTCAGCGCACCTTTCATGGCCGAGATAATTTGCAGCGTTGTATCACGCAGCATGATGTGGCGGTGGCCAACGAGGTCAAAAGTGTCATCCATGCGGCGGCCAACACCCTCGGGGAAGAGCTGATCCTGCTGTTCCTTGGCGAACGCGAAAAACTTGAGGCGGTGGGCCTCCGTAGCCTGATAGCAGTAGCAAGCACGACATGTCGTAGCAAAAATTAGCCTTTAAAAGCTCGATTGGCCGCTGTATTCACGTGTTACCTGCGAGATCGGCACTCCGGCAAGGTTGCCCAATTCCTCCTCCGAGATCTCCACAATCTCTGGCGTCTCCGAAGCGGCCGTGGCGTCGGTGGCAGTAGCGACGGGAGGAACCTCCGTGGACAGTGCACGCAGCGCCGAGGTCTGCATGCGCCGCACAGGCAGGCGCTTGGTCAGCACACGCATGGCCATCATGAAGTCTTTGGGGCTCGATAAGGTGTGGCTAGCAATGCCTGGCTTACAATTACAAAGGCTATTAAATCTTACTTAACTCACCCAATCAGAAGGCGACAAAGAGTTATACTCTGCTCTTATCGAAAATTGTGTGCATTTTGTGTGGCTGACCATGAAACGACGCGAAACGATATTCATAGTTGTTGCTCATTACAGCCATGGGCGCGGCGGCATCGACTGCAAGGGAAAGTTTGGGTTCAACTGACACAGCAGGAGATGGAGCGCCATTGACATGCAGGCTCAGGGACGACCAAGTGGCTGCGTTGGCGAGCAGCACCAACTTCACGCCAGAGGAGGTGGTGGCTCTGAACGTACACTACGACCTCATCAGCTCGGCGACGAGAGACGACGGACTGATCGACCGCAGCGAGTTCCAGACGGCGCTAGGCTTCACTGTCAAGGAGTCGCTGTACGTGGACCGCATCTTCCAGCTCTTCGACACCAACGACGACGACTTTATCAGCTTCGACGAATTTCTGCAAAGCGTGTCCGTCCTGTCATCCAAAGGCGGTACGGCCGAGAAGATTAAGTGTACGTCTCCCACGCTTGTTTGTTATCCAAACGAACGCAACCCTCACTATGATCGTTCTGGTGGTGCAGTTTCCTTTGACATTCTAGACTTCGATCGCGACGGGAAGTTGTCGCCACAAGAGCTGCTAAGCATGCTCGAGGCATGCATTCAGGAGAACAACATCAATATCCCCTCCGAGTGCCTCACTACGATCGTGGCCAAGACGATGGAGGACGTAGACCTGGACAAGGACGGCTTCATCAGCTTCGACGAATTTCGCGTCATGACCGAAGCCAACCTGCAGATGCTCAACCACGTGACCTTCAACGTTTCCGCCATCATTGCCGAGTACATGCCCGCATTGCGCGTGCTGATCTCGAATCGAAGCTAATAGCCTCGGTAGCATAATTATCGGCCCAACTTTTTATTTCTTAAACCAACGTTTTAGTGTTATTCGTGCATAATTAATATAAATATTCGTGAAATGCCGTCGGGTATAGACTTTCGAGGGTTCAATGACATCTGCCCCGCTCGGAAATCAGTTGTTGCCTGGGAGAGGCTGGCAAAAGTGACACCAGAACTCGGCGACCGGATTTGGAGGGCCGTTACGCAGCTATCCTGGAGCTAAAAGCGTCGAGGAGCAAGTACAACAACAGCGCCATGCTGACCCGCTGCCTGGCCGCAACTTTCTGCGTGAATGAGACGTGCGCAGTGACAGACCGCCGCCGTGCTCTCCCTTCGACTGAGCAGCATCAGCAGAGCGATAACATGTCTGGCAACCAGCATCAGGTGCTTCTGGCCGGAGAGTACGCGCAGCGCCGCCCACTGGCACACAAGTCGCCACTGGCGGCCTTCACGTCGCAGCTGGAGGCGCAGCAGTCTCCGCGCGCCAAGGAGGTGGTGCACGTGCAGTATGAGCAGCAAGAACAAGAACCAGAGCAGCCGGAGAAGCAGCAGCCAGAGTGGCCGGAACAGGAGGGCGTTGACACTCAGATGCTCTTCGAAGTGGAGCCCACAGCCGTCAAGATCGGCAAAGAGATCGGCAAAGGAGCTTTCTCTGTTGTCTACGCCGGCGACTACCGAGGCCAACACGTCGCAGTCAAGTGCCAGCCTAAAGACGCAGAGGGCAACATCCCAGCCTTCGTACTGCGCGAAGTGCAAGTGCTACGTCTGCTGCGTCATCCGAGACTGCTGCAGTTCGCAGGAGCTGCTGACAACGCCCGTGCCAAGCAGGTCTGGATCCTCAGCGAGTACCTCAACAACGGCGACGTGGATCTGCTGCTCAAGGCCATTCGCAGTGAGAAGAAGCCTCACATTGGCTGGCACCGCGTGGTGCGCATCGCGTTGGATGCTGCTGAGGGTATCGAGTTCTTACAGCAGAGACACATTGTGCATCGTGACATCAAGTCCTCCAACATCTTACTGGACAGTCAGCATCGTGCCAAGCTCTGCGACTTTGGCTTCGCAGTTGAGATCAAGCCTGTTGTGGCTATGGCTCATGGAGCGGCAGAGTTCGATGCGAGCAAGCAGCGGCGTAAGTCGTACTGCGGTACAGACGCCTACATGGCGCCGGAGATGTTCCTGGACGAAGACTACGACCATAGTGTGGACATTTTCAGCTTCGGAGTGGTGCTGATGGAGATGCTGTGCTGTCGTGTGGCCAACTCGGACGGGTTCTTGATGCGTCTGCCGCAATACAAGTTCCAAGTGCTCCTGCCAGAGTTCCGTGACGCTCTGCCGGCTTCCTGTCCGCCAACTCTCGCAACTCTCGCGGAGAAATGCGTGTCATTCGAGCCCAATGAACGTCCAGACATCAAGACCATTGTACAGACGCTAGAAGATGTTCTAAAACACACTGCCAGCTCGCAGAGCGACAATGTGGAGCTGGTTCCGTTCACACCTAATGAACGGGAGCCACAGATTGAAGCGGACGAAGACGCTTACTATGGCGAGAATGACGAGGAGGATGAAGATGATGACGATGACGATGATGATGATGAAGAAGAGGAAGATAATAGCTACAACTTGCAGGCAAATGGTCGACACAACACGATGGGAATGGAGTCGGACGAAGAAGAACGTGATGTGCGCTCGCAAGTCGTGGACGACCCCTTCTTGGACGAGGAGAGTGTCGATAGTGACGCACTTGCTCAGCCAGCGTCGCCTGCTCCGTACCACGAAGGAGTGATTCTCAAGCGTGGCCGTCGTGGAAAACGTTCATGGGTCGAGAAGTGGTTCATCGTTGACCACGACCAGCTCCACTACACAGACGTTCCTCCAGGTTGGCGACAGCATCAGCAACAAAATGCGGAATGGCGCTGCACGTTGCCTCCCATTTCGTCGCTGTCACTGCGTGAGTGCCGCATCTGGAAGACAATGGAGATGCCTGAACTGCGATTCAACGTGATTGACAATAACTGGAAGATCAAACGCGAGCTCCAGGCCGTATCCAAGCGTGATCTTGATCTGTGGATGGAGCTCATCAACCAGGGAATCGACTATGCTAACGAGCTGTACGCACGTGAGAACGACCTGCCAAACAACAGCACCACCGGCACGAGCGCAAGTAGCAGTAACGCAAGTCGCCCCAGTCGCAACAAGGTGAAGAAGGAGTCACATTCTCAGTGTCAGACGTCGTCCAAGCTGCACGAGCGAAGGCCCAAATCGAACTCAGTTGCCACAGCCTCGAGGAAAACAAGGCGTCGGAGTAGTGTTACCAAGTTTGAGGAGCCACCCGAACTGCCAGAAACAGAGGAGGACCGAGCTGACGAAGTGTACCAGTGGCTCAAGCAGATCGGCTACCAGAGATACGCACCCATGCTCAAGGCGAAGGGATTCGATTCGCTCGATTTTATTCGCGAGGTGAGTGTTTTTTTAATCTGGATTTCTTTTATTCTTATTAATTTTCTTTGCTTTCTTCAGACTGGCATTGAAATGGAGGATTTAAATTTCGTGGGTGTCAAGGAACCGGTGGCGCGCAAGTCCATTCGCTCAGCCGCTCGGACACTACGTGGCGATGACGACGATTGATTTTTTTCGAGATGGGTTCTTGTTCTCTGCATGCGGCGTATTTCTCGTGGGGCTCAGTTCATTACGACGATTTTCTCCAAAATATAAGTATGCAAATCCAGGCATCCTCCATACTTCATTATTTCATCCTTCCTTAGCGCTGTACGTCGCTGCAGGGAGCACCACTACCTGTAAACGGCCTCTTGCCGACGTTTACGTCCAGGGGCTCTCTCCTGAGCAACATACACCGCCCAGCCTACCTAACATCAGAGCAAATAAAAAACCGCGACACAAAAGCAAGTACGTGCATGATGCATGCATACCGAGAAGCTAGAAAACCCAGCATTGCAGCTTTGGAAAGAGCCTACACCAGCGGAGCATTAGACGTCAGACCGTCCTCGACACCTGTGAGCAGGTTGCGCAGGAACGTCTCTGTCACACGCGTATAGTTGATGATTTCCGAGCGGTTCATCTTGTCTAGCGGCATCTCCGACAGTCCAGTCAAATGCTCCGCGTTCTTCTCCAGATTCTCCTGTAGGTACTCGAACAAGTTCTTCTCCTTCCCATTTGGCAAGTAGTACCCAAAGACGTACGTATACTTGAGCACTCGCCGACACTCGATCAGCTGTTCTGTCGCTGCGTTTAGGAACTGCACGTCAATCCACGACGAATCCCCGTGACTCGCCTGCAGTTCAATCATGCGGTTCTCCGTGCCTTCACGCATCCGCTGAGCAAACTTGCCTGCTTCTGAGTGGTTGGCGAATCGCTGGTAGTAGTGGAGGTATCTGTCAAGCTCTGCCTTCGCTCGCGCCGCATCCGTGTCGGCTGCCTGCGAGTCCGCGTCATATCGGTTGCATTTGTAGTAGCCGCCAGTGCCAGATCCGTGCTTGTCCCATCCTTCCATACAAATCCAGCAGAACTCGTAGTTACAACTTCGACACGTCATGTGGTTGCAGCCCTGGTTCTTCTCGATACGGACAGAGCACTTGGGGCACTTCTTCGTGTTGGCCAGGATCCAGTTGGCCGTCTCGGACTCGTTGCGGCATTTCTCTTGCCAGGCTGAGAGTTGTTCACACGTAACAGGCGCATGGGCCTCTTCACCGCAGCGCAGGCAGAAGACGCATCCACATGTGCACGTCACAGACGAGAGTCCACCAGCACTGGTGATAGCCTTGCTGCAGCCAGGGGATGGACACCACTTGACTCCCTTATTAATGTCCACGAACGACCGCAGCAGATAGCGCGCGTACTTGCGGTAGTCCTCGGGTCCAACGATCTTCTTAAAGATCACATCACTCACCACCTACACATGACAGAAATTAGTACCGATAATACCATCAATAATAGTGATAAACTGCACCAAATCACCTCTTTGCAGCCGTGCGCGGGGCACGTCGTGGTCACGCAGATCGGTCCTTCCTGGATCTTCAAAGACAGGTACGGCTTCCAGCAGTTGAGGCAATACACATGCCCGCAGCCCATACCGAAGACCTCGTTAGCCGAGTATTCATCGCAGCAAATGTTACAGTCCACCTTTAATCATTCACAAAAGTCAGTACCAGTCGTCTCTCCCTCCATCTGAATGTCGTACCGTGGTGTCCTTGGGGATAACGGGCGCTGGTTTCTCCGCAAACTCAACGCCTGCCTCATGCTTGGTGGTAGCCGGGTCTGCATAATAACCCTCGAATAGTTTCTCCTTATTCCAGCCAAAGTAGCGCAGCAGCACAGAGGCCACAGGTGCCGGGATCTCTAGTACCTGCGCGATCTCATTGATGAGCGCGCGTTGCTCCTGCAGTAGCTCCTCCTCATCGATGACGTGGTACTCTTGCTGCTTGTGGCTGCCGGCGTGGCCCAGTCCGCTGGGACTCAGACGTTTCTTCTTGGCGGCCGAGCCGCTGCCAAGTGGGGAGAGAGAGTCCGCAGCGTGTTGCTTCTTGGCGTTTGGGTTCGACTGGACGGAGGCCATTTCTTCCTCATCCTCCTCCGAATACTGGTATTCATCGTCCTCCACGTCGCTGTAGTGGTACTCGTCATCCGAGAGAGGGGAAAGAGGTGGGTTGGCTGAATGCGCGCTCATGGTGGGCTATTGTGAGGCTTCTAGACGGATGTAAGTACTGGAAAAGGTGTTGTGAGATGGAAAATAAAGAGAGGAAGACGGTGAAGTGCTGCTGGCAGCGTGGGGGGCTCCGTGGGGACGGCTACACGGCGAGGAAAGGCGGAGGCTTCACTGCTTCCAGGCGGCGTTTGATATCGGGAAATGCGAAGAAAGAAGCCAATTTGGGGCAATCACACCAAATATGAGAATTTTATTGAATTTAACCAATGAGAGCTCGGATAAAATATTTACACAATAGCCAAAGGTAATTTCGACTCGACGGAAAAGTGCTGAAGCTTTTTTTTAGCACCGTAGATCTTATTTTTTATATTTTCTTCATTTTCATCGGAAGCCCCAACTCTACTTTGTCATGGACTTACGCGTTTTGCTCTAGCTTCTCCTGATCATGGTAGACTTGTCGAGATAGTTACTCTAGCGATAAGACTTGATTCGTACCGTTTAAATCGGATTTACCGGACAATAAATCTCCATTATCGCTCCCGCGGTCCGGACCGGGACCGATTACGCATGTGCATAGCAGGCGAATTAAGTAAAGTTATAATCCGTGTGTAGGGTAGAATAACCAGTTATCAGTCTGTCTGGTCTTCTGTGTTATGATTGGCTAACGCCAATGTTGGAGCCGGCCAGCCCTCTATCGGCCATTTCCAGGCGAGAGAAGTAGAGCGATAGCGTAGCAATCCAGGTACAGATCATGGCGACAGATGCAAGGATGTCTGTGGAGATGCAGGAGTCTATACAGAGGACGTACGCAAAGGCAAAGGAGTTAAGACCTAAGAATACAACCCGTTCCTACGACAAGCGTCAGCAGGAGTTTCTCGAGTGGTGCACAAACAAGGGTAACTCATTTAACAACTTGACTCGCTTCACTGTGACGGGTGAAAAACTACATCTCTTCCTGGAAGAATGCGTTATTGGTAGACGTAAGCGCCAGAAAAGTGCTACGAAACAAGCCGATAGGGTGGAGACGATTGGCCGCGCATCTGTTAATCTTTACGTTGCAGCCATGGTTGATCTGTGGAAACAACAAGTCCAGGCCGGAATCAATAGTTATCCTTCACCACGTAACGCTGCAGTGACATCGCTGCTAAAACTGACCCAGTTTGAAGAAGACGAGCGCAAACGAAAGAATTTTGAGGACCGAGGAGCTGATACATTACTAGATGGATATACGACAACAGAACAAATCCAGCAAATTGCTAGGTACTTCTGGGCGATGTCACGTGAGGCAGGAACGAACTTACGGAATCTTTTGGCGTTTCTCGTGAGCCACTATGCTCTAATGAGAGGTGAGTCCACCCGGATGCTAGAATTGGCTGATTTACATTCAATTATGTTGGAGAACGAGGGCTATAGTCCGTGTCGAGCCATAGTTATGGTGAT